TAATTAGCTCAGTGCCCAACATTAAACAAGGAGAATGACTTACCACTAGACCATGTGTGTGCAGTAACAGCTCCATTCAATTCACGGATCATTTGCACTTGTCCTTCCTTAGTGCCACTCTTTTGTGTAAGGAATTCTGGTCCAGGAAGCTTTTCCTTATTGACTTCAGGCAACGATTGTTGAGGTATGGATGATTCCTTGACTGAGTCTTCAAACAATGTTGTTGTCTCTGCATCTGCGAAACGTTCCGAATTTTTTGTGAAGACTCGCACCACTCTATCACTTGCACCCGAAACAATATCTCCATTCTCCCCACAAACAGCTACGCCCCAGACCGAAATTGCGGGATGTGTAATTGTTTGAATACATTGACTGTCTTTCCATATTCTCAAAGTTCGATCTTCACCAGAACTGATAATTTCTCCGGAAGGTGTAGAGGCAATAGAATAAATGAAGTTCTCATGTCCATGTAGTTCTGCCACCTGCTTGCCAGAGAGAGTCCATAATCTGATTACGCCATCATTACCTGCAGATGCGAAATCTGCCCCGGATGGATGACCTTTGGGTAACCTGCAAAGGGCTCGAACAACGTCTGCACTACCTCGAATAGTCCGCAGTAATTTGCCACTGGTGTTAAATACTCTAATGAGTTTATCCGCACAGGCAGTGATGACAGTTTCCGAATCGATGGCAAGAACGGCCCAGACGCTACCCTCATGTCCTCTGAGAACCGATTCACATTCCCATTTCCCTAATGGCCATATTCTTGCTTCCGCATCCCAACTTCCACTGATTATGAATCGTCCGGCTGGATCGACATCCAAAGCACATATGTTATGGCTGTGGCCTATAAGTAGAGCTTCCGCATTTTCTTCTGGTCCTTTCGAAGGTTGTCGAACTTCAATAACTGTGTCTTTTCCACCTGAGATAACTAAACCGTCTGGAAATTGAGAGCTCGGCGGTAAATATGCGACTGTATTTACGAAAGCTGTGGCATGAGAGGAAATGGTGGCATCGAATATTGGTGGATTATCTGAGAGTTGTTTCCATAATCGTACTGTTCCATCTCTAGAAGCTGAAACTACAGCTTTCGCAGATGGGAAAGCTACAGCTCGAACCTATGTTGGAACAACATGTTGTTAGTATATGTTGTCGTCACCAACATCCAGGTTGACCTTGTTGGAGAGTGGAGTATGGTATCATCAACTTACATCGTCTTCATGACCAGCCAAAGATGCAGATAATTTGTATTCTGCCATGTTGACTTTAATGCGATTATGTATTTAGTTTTCCAAAATGGACAGAATTATAAAGAGAGATAGTGAGAGAGTGAGAGAGTGAGAGAGTATGAAAGGTTGTTGTTATGTTTTGGGGAATAATGGAAGTTGATTATAGTTACAGTTCCATGTTTGACTATAAGCTTCCTTAGAGTTGCCCCTCTATAAGTAGGTACCTAAGCAATATATGGATGGGCACACGGGTAATAGCATTGGTAGAGGGACCTGCTGAAACGGCACGCACCTAAACCCTGTAAGACTACCTACCTAAGGACCACTACAGAGTAGTAGTTGGTGCATTCATCACTCAAGTCAGTCACTAAACAACACCAATCAATCGTATCAATAACTGCTAGTGAACGTATAACTTCACTTACTCATATTACTCATATTACTCATATTACTCATATTACTCATATTACTCATATCAGTACCTAGGTAGCTATCCAATGACTACCATTCCCCCCTTGCCCCCTCCCCCCAAAGAGCGGCTTGTTCATATTGATTAGTCACTCGGAGTCGGATTAACTATCCCCCTATTGTTTCAAAATACAGCCTAAGATATTAGTGTAATTAAGGTATGGTAGCTTAATTCTTGACCTCAATGAAACAAAATCACAATATCCCCGAACGGAGTTCTTTTTGCTTCTTTCCCCTTTCCTTTTCATATTGAAGAAGTTGTCAAGCATCTATCTCAATCTCATTCAAGGCAACTTCATCCATCCATTCTACCTCTTAATCAATATCTTACGAATTTAACGACGTTTAACGAATCTTCTTGAATAACAAACACACTCTCTCTTCTACGTATATTAGAGCAGTCTACCATTACCATAGTGCGGTCACTCCCACTCTTTCGCCGCAAAATATACATCAACCAGCGACTACAAGAATCGAACTTCTTTCCCTCAAAAACGATCATAACATACAATACAGTGTCCAATTTTTGACACAAAATCAAACATTTTATACTTCGATTCAAACACACAACAATGGCGGGGCCAGAGAACACTAAGCAATACGTTCCTTTGACATGCCATGGTCACTCAAGACCTGTCACGCATATCAGTTTCTGTGGATTTGTGGACGGAAAGGACGACGAGTATTACATGATATCAGCATGTAAAGGTATGGCATATCGAATTGTCCGAAATGTTTCAAATATGGAAATGTCTAATTCAACATGACAGATAACAACCCTATGTTAAGAAGCGGTATCAATGGTGATTGGTGTGTTACAACTCGAATTCTTGTTCCCGGAAGATGTTAATTGATGGATTTAGGATTGGTACTTTCTTTGGACACAAGGGCGCAGTTTATCAAGCTAGACTTTCTCCGGATGCTAAATATGCTGCGACTGCTTCTGCAGATTTCACTGCGTACGTCGTTCGCGCCAATGTTGGGTGACCATCACTAATGAATTCACAGAAAGGTTTGGGATACGTATACCGGAGAAACCCTTTATACTATCCAGCACCAGCATGTCGTTCGAGCTGTCGCATTCCCACCGGATTCCGGTACCACTCTTGCGACAGGAGGAACTGATAAGAAACTTTTCATTTTTGACCTCGCGAAACTCAATTCTACAGGCGCAAATGGTGCAAGTTCTAATGGCAATGGAAGCGACACTACAAACATTTCTCAAGATGATGGCTTCGAGATTGGACCGGGTGTTCACAAAGGAACGATCAAGGCCGTTGTTTGGACTCGGGATCCAAATATCATAGTTACGGCAGCAGATGATAAAGTGATAAGATGGTGGGATTTGCGCTCGCAATCTGTTGTTCAAGAACAAAAAGTTGATGGCGATATTGGTTCTTGCGAATTCAGCAACATTGCATCTGGACCAGGAGATATTGGTGAAGGATTACCTATTTTGTCAATTGCTGCAGGAAAAACTTTATATTTCTATGGTGGACCAGCTGCAAACACTCTTATCAAGAAGGTTGTCTTGAATTACGAGGTTGCTAGTGTGGCTATTCATCCACTTCAGAGGAAATATATTACTGGTGGAATTAAGGATACATGGGCGAAGGTCTATGATTTCGATTCTGATCAAGAACTTGGTATGTTCCGTTTCCACCAATCAAGCATAATCTTACTAACAATTTTAGATGTTCACAAAGGTCATCATGGACCGATCTGGAGCATCAGCTTTTCTCCCGATGGAAAATTGTATGCCACAGGTAGTGAAGATGGTACGATTAAGATGTGGAAGAATTGTCCTGGTTCTTTTGGATTATGGAGAGCGGAATCCTAGAGAGGTTGTAATAGATACGGCGCAGGCTCAATGAGCATACTGTACAATACTAATGCGAGCGCCATTTTCATATGATATGAAAGCGCACTGCTGTGTCGAGCAGCGTAAAACACACGATTACATCGAGTGATTTAGCGAAGGGATGAGATCCCCAGCTCGATTTTACATGAATGAATAATTTCATCCAATGCGAAGGGTACATGAGTGCTTTCCACGCACAACTAATATTGATTGAACTGAACTGATTGAAATGTGTATAATGATTCAAACACCCATGCTGTCCCAATCTATCCATATCCCACATATACCAAGCATTGAAATTCACAATGTAAATCCACAACATAGATACAGTACTACCGAATAATTTACTCAATCATCCATTAGATAGACTCTACATCATCCCATCCTGTCTCTTCCCACCCCATTCCACTTCATCCCATCCCCTCCCATCAGTATACTTACTACCAGCCACAAATACAGCCAATCTATCTACCAACCTACCCATCTACCCACCAGCTACCCATTCTTCTACCCTACCTACTCGACCTCAACCCAATCTTAACAGTCAAAGGTCTTCTGGATTCGGTCAGACCAAATATTCGGACGATATTAAGATTGCATAGACATACCTACCTGACTAACCTAATTACATACCTATCTGCCTGCCTGCCAATTAAAGAAGTAATGAAGTAATGGATCAATGGATCAATGGATTATAAGATTATAAGATTGATACATACATATCATAAATAATATTCCTATTCTTCACTACCTATCCTATCCTATCCCTATCCTATCCTACCACTATCACAAACACCACCACAACCTCCACCCAAAGCCGTATCTACCCATAGTTACTATTCATAACCCACCAAAGTCATCATCCAAGCATACAACATGGCAGCAGCAGTCAACGAGTAGTCCAAAAAAGTGAGTAGAAGAACGGTAGTAAGTAAGTATGCTAACTAATCCAAACAAGAGTTTACAGAAAGAAAAATACAAAAAACGCAAAAAAACTACCATTGAATCATTTATCATAAAGTCATCATCAATCACGTCCCTGTCTTCTTCCTTTCTTCTCTCTTTCTTCTTTCTTGATCTCTTGTCTCTTCTTCTTCTTCTTCTCCTTCCCTCCCTCTCATATCCTCCACTCACTTTACAAATCCCTCCCACAAAACGTTATGCTTCAATCACAAAATATCCAGGACAATCAATAATTACTCCAACACACCGACCCTGTTCATCCAACAAATCCTAACCCCTTCCAACCAATTAAACCAAGCCCATACAACCATATCAAATAGACTGACTAATGTGAACACTTTCTCTTGCAATTACTTCTTCTTTGCTCTCGTATCTGTATTGTAGAAGTATGAACCACTGAGTTTTACTTCTTGCATTTTCTTCCCTATTTCTCCATCCTGACGACTCAAGCTAATTGTGATTATAATGTATTATCACTCTCAAAGCCAAGCATCTCCCCCATTATCACCTCTGCTCTGTGCGAAACTCAACTTCATATCAATCTTAGGAGGAGCATTTTCCACACCCGCACCAGCCACTTTCTTTGGTGTGATATTTTTTCGCACTGGACTTTTGTTATCAGGACTAGGACCACATCTCACATCCTTAGTCTCCCAACCATCTTCAATTGCAGCCGCGACCCAGCATCTCAAGCCCGCATGTACGCCACCATAAAATTTCTCTTTACATAGACGCAAAGTAGAGCCCATACACTTTTCCCACCCGGAGACTCTTAATTCTTCGCGGACTTGATTACGTTCTTCAAGAGTGGGCAGAGATGCAATGCAGCCATTAACAATGTCAAGGTGAGAAGCAAGATAATTTGTTGCATCCCATTCAACACCTCCAACATATGGTGCAGCTGGAACTGGAGGAAGTTCTTGTGGGAAGTGCTTGATCATATATGGAAGATCAGGTGGGGTATCATCGTGTCGTTCTGGAGAATGGCGGGAATCTGGGCGAGGAATCACATTGAGGTTGTGTAGAAAGATCCAAAAGACCTCTTTAGTAACATTACTAACTTCTTTGCACCAAACGCGATAAGGACGCTGTCGACGCATATCAAGTACGAAGTCAACAGGGCGTTGTGATTCACTTGGTTCAGGGTCGCGAAGATAGGAGAGGAGAAATCGAGCTCTGGTTGCGCGTTCGCTAAGGGTGGCGGATTTGAGGTAAGTAAACAAAAGTGAAGTGACAATGTTTCGAGTAGTAAATTCCGCTGGCCCCTTTTTCTCCTCGTCAAAAAGCATATGAAGAAGTGCGGGGAAAAGAGTCTTCTGAATAATGTTAAGATGTTGAAGTGCTAAAGCCGTGGTTGATAGTGCTTTCAAGCAAAGCAAAACTTCATGCAATAAAGCATCTTCATGCTCCTCTCTGTGTATATGTCAGCCATTGTGCTCTCAACAATTGAATTAGTGTAACAAACCTCCACTCAACTTCCATAGTTCTATGTAGTAGTCCCACTATCTCTTCCATTCCACCTTGACGAACGAAATTGTCAGTCCAGGCTACTGTTTCATTCCGTAACAACAGCCTGAGCTTATGTAACCTTCCTACTTCCACCGATTCTGGTTTCTGAACCTTCCTCAAGTATGAGACGAAATCATCCGGTGTTTGACCCTTGGCCTTGGCAATTAAATTCTGTGCTACTTGCGCGCCAGCAGAAGTAAGTGATTTACTTCCACCGTTCAAAGACTCTGCAGATTTCCTGTTTCCCACAACACCTTCTGCCTTTTTATCTTTTTCGGCTGGTCGTTCCTTACTAGTGGATCTCGAGAGTGTAAAGGTTCGACTTCTTGGTCTCTTCTTTTTCTTCACCTCTGGTGCTTCCTCGACCTTTGCATTTTCACCACTTGTGTCACTACCATGACTGACTGGCCTAACATTTCTCGCGGCAGCGGTTTCGGCCCAATCTTGTCTTATAAAATCTTTCTTCATGGATTTGGCGAGATTTCTCATCTTTCCACGTTGGTGCTCTGGGATGTTCCGCCTATCCAACATAGCCTCGAATTCGGTGTCGATATCTCTATCATTGAGAGGTCTGTCGGGCCCAAATGTCGCAGAGGTCGGTGTTTGTACTGGAACATATACTCCACTATCCCCTCTTGCCTTTGCGGTAAAGTTGGAAACTGCTGCCATGACTCGAGAGCCTCGAGTACTACTTGATGTTTTGATTGATGCAACTGATGTTTCGGTGCTAGATCGTTGAAAGCTTGGTCTCGGTCTTAAATCCATTGAAGTTCGATAATCCAAACTCGGTTTCTTTTCCGTCGAGACTTGTCGCCTTGGAATGTCAACACTGCATCTGTTTTTGCTTTCCCCACTAATGTTTCTATGAATGTCTTGGATACTGAAACTGCTGGGTAAATATGTGGAATGCGGCCGTATCGAGACACCTTCCCGGCTTGCAAGACTCGGTTGTGAGCTTTGTCCATTATAAAAGCTTCGTTGTTTAGTGGGCGAATGGTTCTCGGGTGTGTGAAGGTCGATTTGATCCTCTAAGAATTTACCTCCCAAAGGTTGTTTTGTGAACATGTCACTCGAGAATTGTGAATATATTGGTGGTCGCGCAGCACGAGTCGCGGATTCTGGGACAGGCGATGTGACCACCGGAGTCTGGTTCTCCTTATCCTTCGAATCGCGCTGTGCCAGCTCTACATCCAACTTAAGGTTCTTCGAGGACCTCGGGCGAGTGAGGAGTCCAACAAGACTTGTCGAGGATTTAGTCTTTTTGGGTTTCGTAGGTTTGTCCCGAATTGATGTTCCCTTGGTAGGCTCCTTTGCTGGGCCTGCCAATGACTTGAGTGACAATACACTCATTGTCTTCTTATGCAATCCTTTACCCGCATAACCGGTTTTAGGTCGAAGTCCCTCTTGCTGTGAGGTAGTATACGGCGAAATGATTGAAGACGTTTGCTGGTTACGTTGTATATCCGCGAGAGCGCGATGGTGGGTATAATCCGACGGCGATGGCATATCTTCGAAGGCTGGAGAGGCTACAAAAACGTCATTTGGTGAAGTCGCGGGTGAAAGAGTCGAACCGTCAGAAGTTGTGCGCTTATGCATAAATGCTTTCAATACCGAAGCTGTCTTGGGGCGTTTGGAATGTACTGATTCTGGGTAGGGAAAACTGGTAGCCATGATGAAAGGTAGCTATGGAGTACCTAGGTAGATATTATTATACTCGAGTAGTTGTATAATTAAACCGGGTTGCTTTAAAGATATCTACCATAGGTATGCGACAACGGAAGAGGAAACTTTTGGTATGGATGTTGTGATTTACTGCAGGCAAAAGCTAACTCATGGCAATTCAATCAATAATAAAAGTAAAGTCAAGTCTAAGTGAAGTGAAGTCAGGTTAAAGTAAAGGGTAGACAGGTAAAAGTACGGCGGTAATGTTCTAATAAGTGTGAGAGGTTTTTGATTGAAATGAAATAAATGGATTTAATGTAATGAAATGGAATTGGGATGAATGAATGGATAGAAGGCTCTTGTGATCAAACCCCATCCGTCAAATCATTCTAATTGATTTGTTTAGACCTGTTTTGGGGGAATTAGTTTAATTAGTTGCTATGGGCAACATGAAAAAGGAAGTCGCGTATTCATGTGGTGCATTTATGTGTGTTTGTGTGTATTTAGGACTATTTATGTGTGTGTGTACCTTACTTGGGTGGATGGATTTACATGTGTTTATATGTGTTTCTATGTATTGATATGTATTAATGTGTATTTATATTTATATTTATATGCATTATGCATGCTTACCTTAGATAGGTGGGTAGATTGGTAAGGAAAGTAATAAGTAACTAGTCGGTAGCTACCTCCCTAGCTGATAGTTGTACTTGTAGTCGCAATGGCAACTCTATCGACCTATTTACGATACAACTACGATACAACTACAATACACCTACAATACACCTACAATACACCTACAATACACCTACAATACACCTACAATACACCTACAATACACCTACAATACACCTACAATACACCTACAATACACCTACAATACACCTACAATACAACTCCATCTACAACTCCATCTACAACTACCTACCCAGACATCCATCTGCTAATACCAAGCTACCAAGGTAACAATTTCCAAGGTTGTTGCCAAATTACATCGATGATCAAAAAGAGTCGTGATAAGTGTCATATTACATTATTATCTCCCTCCCTCTCTCCCTCCTTCCCTAGCTATTTCTTCTTCTTCTTCCTCTTCTTCTTCCTTCTTCTTCTTCTCCTTCTTCTCCTTCTCCTTCTCCTACTCCTTCTTCTCATCCAATCATCATCCTTGCTTCTTATTACTGTCTATCATACCATACCTAGCATCTATCTTACCTTACTCGATCAGTACCAAGAATTTGACAATCAATCAATTCATGAGAAAAATTGTCAATAATTTCAAATAAATCAATGGGTCCCTCGGAACTTTGTCGAAAGAAAACTCAATTTTCTATTTCGTTTGCTTGAAGGATTAATAAAACCTCTCACTGGGGTGGTGCTTTTCTATCATCTAACTCTATGATGATTAGGTATTTGCTTAAATGCTTATATCTCATCTAAATGCCCCAAAACAGCTTTTATAAATGCTTCCTTACCTAACCAAAATGAAACCTCTCCTCTAAGATACTTGATTTATCTACCGAATCCTACCAACTGAAGAGTCCCTTTTGCCGATCGAACCCACCTCTTAATTGACTTTCCGGCTTGATTAGTTTGCCTTGCAAAATGGTAAATTTCACAATCCCCTCACAATCTTCAGGTTTCACTCTTGCTAGCCACATACATTGAGCAGCACCCTTACCCTCATCTTCTCCAGGTACCACTTTCGATGGCATTATATCCCCATCCGTGTTGGCTCTTTCAACACCGTCCAACCCAAACGCGTCAGATCTCCGGTAGATCATGACGTTTGCACTGTATTTGTGTCCTCCAACGTGAGATATAAAGTATATACCAACTCCTCCTAGTCTATCGTCATCTAAATCGCGGAAAAGTCCCAGTGGTCTCAAATGCCTCTCAAACTCCTTCTTCAGTAATGGCGCACTTTGTCCACATCTTGCATCTCGAGTTTCTGCGAGCAGAGGAGAATAAGTGCTCGATGGGGTGATGGACGTGAAGTGAGTTGTTCTGCGGATGGAAGAGGATCGGGGAGGGACTGGGGTATCGAAATAGGTCCAAGAGGTGTCATATTGGTAGGGGCTTTGTCAATGAACTCTGTAATCAGAGTTGGCACCGACTGTGGAGTAACGTTGTCAATCACGATGAATGCAGGTAATAGAAGTACAGTCGTAGGCTGCGAATAATCTGTCGAATGTGAAGGTGTGGGTATGTTGGACGCGGAGAGCATAAGCTTCTACGATGGATCATCAGCATGTTTCAAAATACAACGATATAGAGTTTTTGGTAGGAGGAAGATAACTAACCCCATTACTTGGTTTAACAGAGCCATGGTCGATTGCTTGCATTACACTTCCCTTCTCATCTGCGACATCTCTCACCCAATCTGATTTCCTGTCGCGACTAGAATATGTGTACTCCATCCTTTGACATGACCATATAGCTCATCGTCCTCGTCTATCTTGAAGCCTTTGGGATATTTTACATGACACGATTCGCAATCATGATCACAATCATCTCCATCCACAGCCGGGTCAACTTTTGGGAATATTTGCTCGATTGGAGTATTTTCTGATGGAGTTCCGGGAATTGGTGTGGATTGACCCGAAATAGTTTGCTTGGCAGAATTTAAGAGGGATTTGAAAGTGGAAGCCATATTTTTGGTCTTCTTGCGCGGGGATTCGTCGCAACTCTTGTGGCATCATGGCTGGTTTTATTTCCAATCCTCGACATTTTGGTGGGGTCCAATGCTAACAATGCTGTACGATGATTGGTTGCCAGCTAATCGTCATATTCCGGTGAATGTACGGAATAGTGCCCGAGCAAGGAATCTCTTATCAGATCCGCTTTGGTGTTATCTGATGGATCGTGGTACATATGCGTGAAAGAGCTTCCGAACATGAACTATGGCCGTAGGAATTGTATCGATTTGATATTGAATACTCGATCAGGATTACGGAAGGTGGAAGATGGAAGGAGAAGGAAGAAAAGGTTACAAAACGTGTGTTTCTCTTTCTTATTGTCTGACATGCTGCCGATTTGAAGCTTAGAAATATCAATTCACCGTCGGTGTATTTCTTATGTCCGTTCTAGGATCTGCCTAACAAGCACTCTACATGCATCTAATCAACAAGCGACCGCAGTTCTTCGACGTAAACTCCTTCGGTCCCGAATGTCCACCGACGTAAATGAATAAATCCGCAATATCCATTTCACATGATTGGCCACACCACCATTAATCTAATCATGCCACCCAAAATCATATTTCTCACAGGAGCACCTACATATCACTCACTTGGCTGGGACGAATCAAAACTTCAGAGTGACTTCACCGAACCTTTCATCCAATTTCTCCACCTCCCTCATCCATACCCGAACTCTGCACCGCGGAATAACAATACGAGCGTCTTGGAATTTTCCATCGCTCAAAACGCGGAATGGCGTGAACTTCCTCTTGAACGAAAACATCTCACCACGGGAGCGTCTCAAGATCATGCTTTTCAACCGCTGTATGGCGGTCATGCTTTAGATTTCTTCTCGGCTACAACTTTTCTCTCGCAATCCAGGGATATTCACAATCACTGTCTAATTTGGATTCATACATCTCTGATCATGATGAAAATTATGATCATCAAGAGGTAGATGGGGTACTCTCTCAATTCTACGAACATTCCTATGCTATCCACGATATCCCCTCGTCTCAAATCACCTCCTCGGATTTTGATTCTACATCCTACTCTACATCCGGATATGATTCTCAATCTCTATTCCCACAATCTGGGAAAAATACACAAGTGCCGGTGACAGGCTACTTGACAAATCTAAAGGATATGCCACACGCGCAACATTTATCTTCGATAGTCCCGCAAACTATGACGGTTAATCTGATCGTGGGGATTATTTCAATTTCAGAACCGAGAGCAATATCTACGAGACAAGGAGGAGATGTATCGCTTGTTGAGATATTGGTTGGTGACGAAACGAAGAGTGGGTTTTCGATTAATTTCTGGTTATCAGGAAAGGGCAAAGAAGAAGTTCAAGAAGTATTGGAGAATCTGAGAGTTCAGGATATTGTGTTGATGAAGAATGTAGCGTTGGGAAGCTTTAGAGGGAAAGTCCACGGTCAGAGTTTGAGGAAGGATATGACGAAGGCTTGGTTGATGTATAGGGAAAAGATTGATAGGAGTGATGTAGGAGGATGTTATGGGAGGAGAGATTTGGAGAGGAAGGAGATAGATGTACAGTTGGCGAAGGTTAAGCGGGTGAGAGATTGGGTGGTGGGTTTTGTGGGGGTTGCGACGACGAATAGACGGGGCGTGAAGAGAGTTAGGGAAGAGTTACCGCCGGATACTCAATAATAGATTGGGATAGTATGTCGCGAGTCTGGTCTTCTGACTCGGAAGTATGTACCTAGGATGCTATCTCCTTCTCAAAGCCTCGTTAACCCTATCCATCAACCCCCCACCCCTTCCTACCCTCCTAATCCTCACTCCACAAACTGGACATCTAACCTTCTGCCTCTTTCCCATCCCTCTCAAATGCGCCATCCAATCCTCTAGACACGTGGTACAAAACCGATGTTTACACGGTTTTGCAATCGCTGCTTTAGTAGGAAGTTCATCTGTACAGATTGGACATGTGGATTTCTCTTCTTCTTTCTTTGCGGGGGAAGTAGAAGCATCTGGATTTTTCTTTCCATGTCCATGTTCGAAGAGCGCTAGCATCCACCCCGGAGTGTCACCTTTATCATCTTTATCACGAGGGTGCGCTCCCTTCGCATTCCCATCTCGCTCCACTTGCTCAGAGTCTTGAATTCGTCGTCTCTGCAACCCCACCTCCCGATCGATCTCCGCCATCGTCGTATATCCAAATCCCTTCTCCATGATTTCCGGCCAGGGCAATGCCGCACCCTCGAAAATCGCATCCATGTTTTCTCGAACTTGTATTCTCAGATGCTGTAGATCTGGGATGCCTTGGAAACGGGGGTTGAAGTAATCTATAACTTTTTGCTCGGTTGGTTGAGGGGGCTCAAGATGCTGGTGGGGAGCGAGAGGGTTTTCGTTTACGAGCTCGTTGGCGGTGGGGTTTTGGGTGTTGAAGTGAGTGGCTTTTGCTTGGAGAGGCTTGGGGTTGAGTAGATAGTTATGCAGTTGGTAGATGAGTGTTGTGAGTATTATGAGGGAAAAGATAAATGAAGCGATGAAAGCTGCAAGTGGATTTTTCTCAATCTTTTGGTTTCGAGATTCCATTCTAACTTGACTGTTGCTCGATATCCCGAAGATTGATTTTAAATAGTCAATGCCAATACCAGTAGTTAATGGTATGTTGTACATGACGCTTTCTGTAACTGGCGTTGGTTGGATAGCAAGTTTTCCTGTATTTTGGTTTCTCTGGTGACAGGTACTTTGAGAATTGACTTGGATGGTGATTGTTGAGATGTGTATCCAGATGAGAATCTACATGAAACTAGATGCTAAATGGATGAATTAAGCTTCAGTAGAGAGCTCCTTATATTAAGACCAATATACCACAGACACAGATCAAATACCGTAGGCCTGACTCAGAAATATTGTTTCATAGTAGCAGTACACGAGGCTTGCGCGTGAATAAGCGTTAGCTAATGCCTTATTTACCGTATCTTGCTAGCCTAGAAGATCAGTTACAGTGAAACGTTACAACTCGACATGAGCACATCGATTTGAAGTGTGATAAATGAGTTCGGATCCATTGTGGATGAAGTGCTTCAAAGTTGCTTCCTGAGAACAGAGCTTGATGTTGTAGAGGCTACACATGAACTAAAATTCTCGACTGTCGAAATACGTAGACGTGGAAATTATTCACTCGGTGAAGTCCTTGGAACCTCTGACTCTTTATAAAAAGATGAAAGGCTCCAGTGCCCGCTGCACGCTCACACCAGAATGATGTAGCGGCCAACACAACAAGCCCAGATATTCGCTTGATACAACCCAATGACAAAAATCTATTACCGCATTAAGCGATCTATCAACCCGTGAAATTCAGATCCCTTCCCTCAATCCTAATAAAAACATTCATCTGCTTTCGCGGAAACGAGATGGAGCCATTGCAAACGAACACATCAAGCAAAATATCAGACGAAGCAAACAAGCAGTGGAATTTCTGAGATACACAGTAGTAGCCAACTAGGCGCTTTCTCAAAGTGGCTCAAGTTTAACGTTTGCGGGGAACATGACAATACAAGTCTCTAGACTGGTTATCGAGAAGCGATTTCTAACCAGTCTGGATTGAAACTCAATTTTAGATAAATTCATTCTACGCATTAGGTTTCCAATGCCTCGCTGCTATATTTGTACAACCATGCGCCGTAATCTTTCCGTGAGACTGTTACTTGCCCTAAATCCCAATATCCTAAATGTACTCCGCAAAGCTTTACTCAGCGACCCAAACAGCAGCCATACCCATACCAGTACCCACACACATACTAGTTACGCCAACTTTTTGATTCGTCCTTCTCAACTCATATAATAATGTGCTGACCTGTCTAGCTCCGGTACATCCGAGAGGATGTCCAAAGGCAATCGCACCACCCTTTGGATTGATCTTCTTCTGGTCGAGTCCTAACTCATTTGCACACCAAAGGCATTGACTTGCAAATGCTTCATTGATCTCGAAAATATCTACATCATCCTTGTTGATGCCGGTCTTTTCGAATACCTTTGGAATAGCAGCCCAAGGACCGATACCCATAAGTAAAGGAGCTACACCTGCGATAGATGCGGCAACGTATTTACCAAGGATAGTTTGACCGAGTTTCTCAGCTGTGGAACGCTTCATCAAAAGGACTGCGGCAGCTCCATCCGAAATCTGAGAAGCATTTCCGGCATGAATACTACCATCCTTTGAAAAAGCAGGCTTAATTTTGCCTAAGCTCTCAGCGGTGATACCTGGTCGAACACCATCATCCTTGGAAACAGTGATGTCCTTCGTTTCGCCAGTTTTTGGGTCTTCCCATTTGACAGTCAGAGGAGCAATTTCCTCATCAAAGAGACCCTCTTCTTGGGCCTTGAGTGCCTTTTGGTATGATGAAGCCGCAAATGCATCTTGTAGGGAACGTGGAATTCCCTTGTCTTTGGCCATGTTCTCGGAAAGAACGCCCATAGGCACTTTGCAGTTCGCAGATTCTGGGTGGGACTCGAGGTGTTCGGAGAATTCTGTTACTGCACCAGGTCTGAGAATGTAACGTTAGCCTTTTAGTATACACAAAAATAGAGAGGAGACCCATACCCGTATTGCAAACTCATGCTTTCGACACCTGCGCCAACACCGATATCAATCATGCCGGACTTAATGGCATTTGCGATATCTACGCATGCTTGTAAACCAGATGAACATTGTCTATTCAAACTTTTGACTGCTGCAGATACAGGGAATCCTGCAGCCAAAGCGGCGGCTCGAAATTCAGTAGCTCCGCCTCCAGGAGGAAGCACCGATCCAACAGCTATGTCTTCTACTAGCCCCGGGTCGATTTTCGAACGTTCAATGAGAGATTTAAATGCGCCAACGAGTAAATCTGCTGCTGCTGTATCTTTGAAGCCTCCCTTGCCACCCTTTGTAAATGCGGTTCGGAGACAAGCTGTTACGACAATCTGGAATAGAGAACGTTAGCAATTGGCCGAGAGGCATATTTTGGAATAAAATAGATGTTCTTACATCATCTGGATGCTTCTCCAAAAGCTTCGCGCGGCCACTATCACCCTCTGTGGGTGCAATAGTGCTCTGTGATCCAGCCAAATGGCCGGAAACCTGTCCAAGACGTTTTTGTGCTATGTTCACTGTCAGCTTTGTTTGCAGTCCTTCACTTGTGATGGATACTTACCAGCTGACATTTTGGCAATATATCAAAGTAATATGTGATCAGAATTCTGTGTTATGCAATGAGAGGTATGGGAATAGAAAAGATGTTATATGGGAAGGAGCAAAGAAGAATGCACGTCGGGGTTGGAGATCGATAGATGGTAATATTGAGGATGCCTCGGTAGGAATTCAACCAATCATGGACGTTAACAGCGATTTTGCACTCACATGCTTTTGCAAGGTTGGTCTCAGAACTCTCAGCCGAAACCAGAACTTAGGATTTTCTGACATACATTGTAAAGGTTAACTGGAGGTCACGCACTGATTAGTAAAAAGGTAAGCAATCTTTCACATGTGCTCAAAAGAAGCTCTACCGGAACGGCAATTGCTGTTGTTTCACTTGCCATGTTTTTTTAATGTTACTCTCTCTTCAAAGCATTGATGCAGCGTTTTGACATGTGAAGTTCATGGTTTCTCTAATCATCTATGTGGTGTGATTTTAGTGATTCTCCGACTCAAGCGAGTTTTCAATGGCGTGTATTTAAAATGTTCATTAAAACCACCTTTTCGCAAAACACAAATTCCACTTCTCTCCTTCGACCTTCATCTTAACCTCTCTCGTCTCTCTCTCTACCTTCCTACGAGTGCTTATTCTCACCACACCACTCACAGTCGTCAGTGCAATCCTTCAAAGCCCCGATAAATCATAGCACGCACTCTTCAGTAATAGTCCACTTATTCATGTGGCAAAACCCTTTGTCATAGAGGTATTTGATCTGCCTCTCGAGAGATTTCGAAATTCCAGAAAACGTCCATTCGGTGGATTTGAAGTCGTAAAAGCAAGCCGCACGACTGAAGTAACAATACGTAGATTGAAGGCTCTTAACATATATCTTGACACTACCAACACCATAGAATTCATCGATTATCTTAACCACGGTCCTAGCAAGTCGTTTAAAATTCGTGTACCCACTATCTCTCAATGCTCGCTCCCGGGATTTTGGTAGAATGTGTATGACGATATTCTTTGCATAGCCCACAAACAGTGGGAGCAATGTAATGAATCTTCTCTCTCTTTCGATGGCGCCAGGACTCGGATGACTGTTGAGTATAATAGTCAAAGTGTTGTTCTCGTCGTCAAAGGACAACCAGGCATGTTCAAAGATCTTGTTGCCGTTTTGCTTTACTTCTATAGATTGACCATTGGTACTCACTCCCGAGATGTAATGTAGTGTCCATCCCGTGAATTTCAGGCTAAAAAATGGAATCACAGCATGAAGTTGACGATGATTATACCAAGGCAAGTGGAACTCAACGTCTAGCTCTTCAATATTGAATCCATCGAGGATACCTCTCATCTTTGTCAAAAGCTGGGTTGCGTGGTCAGTGTCCTCTCCATAGTCTATTGCATATAGGCGATTTGTACGCCCGTGGACTCCTGGGTAATAGGCAAGCCGGCAAACTATCTTGATCTGTATTCTTTTCATGCATTCTGAAAATCCTGGGAGGTGCTCAAGCAGAGATTTGAAACCCGTTCTTTCAGTTTGCTCTCTAGCTGGCCGTTCGAAGTCGATGGTTATGACGAGGGTGTCTCCGCCCGAAATTGACAAATTCTCATGCTCCAGGATATGAGCAATGCCTTTGCATCGTGACATTATGGTGATTTTCCAATTGCGAGGGCTCTTCCACTTGTAACTTTCCCAAATCAAAAATATCTCAAGTCTATCAAGGATTCTCGTACTGATTACCGGAGTAGCATAAATTGCGACATAGAAAAGCAGATGGTGTTTCGGAATCTCTTATAACAGCAAGTAACAGATTATTTCACAAAGCATTATTGCAGAAACAAAAAGTGCCAGGTATGTCGAGAGTACTACCACCTAATAGATCGTTCCAGTCCAGTTGGCTGAGTTTCCAGTACCAGGTCTTTGGTTCTAGATTGCGAGAACTTTCTATACAACTCTACGTATCATTTATAGCTTTTGAATTGAATAAGTTGTGGTATCTTGCTGAATATTTTCCATTTAGTAATGGATGGAAATGGAATATATTTGCACAATCACCATCATGGAATCAGATCCCAAATCTTTCAACATAGTATATCCAGATAGGTAGTTGAGCAAAGCCCAAGATATAGTTCTCTTGGTCGATCCTCTTCCAAAGTCTTCAATCACCCAGGTGTGCTTATACGATCCTCACAATTGCCTGTCGCGGTACAAAGACTTTCAGGAAATGTTTCAAAACATCAAACAACTGAAACTTCATTCTTGCCAAATAGCACTCCAGTAGTCTTGATGTTTCTATTAATTCAACACACAAAGATATATAGCACTGAACAAGCTCCCTTTGAACTCTTATAGTAATAGACTTCATCCTCGAACTAGAGTCATACCCTTTCCAACAAAAAAAGAGAACCTAGAATACAATGCATCGTTTGGAGCTTCAATACGATAACAATGGCAAGCTCACGATTAATTTCGACTATAAAAATTCCACAGCTGTGTGCTACCTTTCACAATATGCCTCGAACGTCCGAAAAATACACTTCAAAATCAAATTCCCAAGTCCGAACCGCAACGACTCTGATCTTGCGAGAGTCACAGGAGAAATCGAGGATATCGTCACCGTAATCAACAACGAATTCACAAACGTGTCCCAATTCGAAGTGTCATTCTTCCTACATAGACTCGATGTGAATCAGCTCTCGAGTGCTCTTGCCTTTCGAAGACTTCGTCTTAGAGGATGCGAATTGACTTACTTTGTTGAAGGTAAGTGGACAGATACAGTTGATATGGATTCAGACTGGCTTGAAGATCTTGAACCTATATATGGCAGGCCGAACTACAGTAACTATTTTCCCTGTGATAGCGATGAGGAGGAAATATGTATGGCCTCGGACTCGGAGTAGGTGTTAGAAGATAGGGATTAATACTGTGTAGATTACTTTCTTGTTAAACTTGTTTTTGGTATGTAGCTAGCAGATTAAAGGGGATTGTGGAAGAGACACTTGAATGATACAATACAGATATTCCCGTATTACAGTGTAGTTTCTCGTGCAAGGTGAAAAATTTACGGTAGCTACCGAGGATTTCGCTGTGGCATGATACGAACTCGAAGTTTGAGTGTAGCTAGTGCTACTTTGTAAAGTTCACTTGGGTCTTTTTTTTCTTCAAAATTATTACGATTGTTTTAGAACCATCTGTGATGCACTTACAATACTGACTTGGTTTGTTTTACAAGAATATACATCTACATTTTCTACAATATACATTCTATTTCGTATAGTTTTTAATGTTTATAGAGCCTCGATGTTTGTATTGTTCAGCCGTTGTGGATTTGGCGATTTAATTGCTTAAGCGAAATTTATTGGTGTGCTTCTGGAATATTTAGTATGAGCCCCTCCCTCCTACTTGTATCGGTAGAAGAAATTACCAAGGTTCACCAGGGGCTCACCAGATAAATTGAATAGCGAATATTGTAATCTGACGGCTTTGGACTACTAAGAATTGCATTCAATACCCAATGCGCAGCACCTGGTGTAAGGAGACATAGTCCTGCGTCTGTTTTGAAACGGAGGAATCACTGCAAGTGCGACAAACTTTTAATGTCACTTGATTGAAGGAATCTAATTTATATTTGCATTCAAAACTAAACATGCTGATTAAACTCTATTCCCAATGAAAGAATTCAAGCAGATGTTAGTGATTAGCGATTATTGCCCGGCTGGAAACTGCAAGAACACCCTTAGGATCCACCTGGATAATAACACGAAGGGTAACTCAGAGCTCTAGTGGATCAATCATGCTTTTCAGTAATTTATTGCAAGCACGTAGAGAATTTGCAGAGGCGGGGGATAGCTGCCACGAGTACTTTCCATGTATATAATTTATATGCTTTTTAGGATTGTCTAACAAGGAACAGATTGTTACCTCTCACCAGGTCGATTGATAAGGTTTTGCGGAATAGAATGGCAACCTTGCGAGAAGCATTAGTTTGATTCATATTGAGCATGCACTCTTTGTTGAGTTTTAAGACATTCCGATAACAAGTCTCTTCTTGGGCAGGGTGTTTTCGAAAGGTTTCTACACATTCGACTCGTAGTCTATTCCTATCTCGAATCAACAATGAATCCAGTTTCATGATTCGAGAGCATGCTCTAGTGGTTCATTTTGGCATTGTTTTTATGATATCCGGGCCTAGAAAGCGTACCACATTGGCAGATACTCAAGAACTACAATTTCCCCCAGGTCGCTAATACAGCATCACCATCAACCAATACACACAGATCCGACTTCCATCATTTGTCAAGAGTCCAGCAAAAAATGGCTACTTTACTTACTGACACTCCACGCCACCGCGAACTCAGCTACAATCGCAATAGCAGATCTTTAACAATCGACTACGATTATAGTCTGCGCCACATAAAAAGCGAGGGAAAGACCTTGGAGTGTATATTAACTCAATATGCCGCCTTCACCGAAACGGCCATTGTCAAAATCCAATTCTCCGAAGCATGGAATATATTTCGCCACAATGTTCCGACTTTCGAGCACACACATACCATTAATTATGGTCCCCTTAATCAGATTGTGAACCAGCAGCGTATTGCAGATGTTGTTCGAGCTCTCAAAGGGTTTCGTCAGTTGAGAAATCTAGAAATTAGTTTGAGTCTCGACATCGAAGACTTCCCCCGAATTGCTTGTGTGGCTCCGTTTTTTGACTTGCGTGGTCGTTGCCAGCAGTGGAGCATGAGGTACAAACTTGGTAGACATGGAAATTATATTTCTATCGGTCCTGGTTCACCGTTCTACACTCGACTCGAACGCCTCAATGATAATAGAATGCATGATTGACATAGTATTTGCTTACAGTTACTTCTCTGGTAAGTAGATGAAGGTTCTTTGGGGGAATAGCTAGTTATAGTCAATTCAATCATTTTTGCAAAACCTATACCTTCAAATCTCAATTTCTGCGAATCCTTCCCAAATAGCCGCATATTTTTTTCGAGCTATGAAATCTAGATGCTACGAAACGTTCAATTTGCCATTTCTTTGTCTTTTTGTGGATTGTGGGATATTTCAAAGACACAATTGTCATCGTCAGGTGAAGTTTCATAGAATTGTAGAGGTTCAAATCTCGAGACATGTCTAGACGTGTCTATGTCAAGTGATATCTCAAGAAAACAACTATACTGATGGCTTCGATAAACCAAGCTGTAAGTTTCTTGAGTACAAAGAGATTCCTCAAGGGCTCATTTTACGACCACCTCATTAGCATCTCTAATAGTCTTGATGTTTCTATAGCCTGACATACACATTAGATATATAAATATAACCCCAGCTCATTCCCAATGATATTCTAACATAGTAAACCTACATCTTATCAACAACAGCGTAACTTCACACCAACAACACCAAAAGACTCGGAAATTGTAGAAACAATCCAAGACGCCCAAATGGCTTCAGGTATTACTTGGCACTCTGAACTTTCATACCATCATGGGACATTAACAATCAACTACGACTACGAGGATTCCGACGTCAAATACCATATTTCTCAGTATGCGCTTATTGCCCGAGAAATCATATTCAACATCTGCTTCCCCGAACCAGATAACGACAATACTGGACTACGAAGAGTCGAGCAAGATCTCTCCGAAATAATTGAAACTCTCAACGACGAATTCGACTTATGTAGAAGCGATGTTATGTTCTGGCTACGCGAATACGATATTTCGCAGATTTCTTGTGCTCTTGAATTTCGTCATCTTAGGGGGCGGACTGTGTTTGAGTACTATGTGAGAGGATATTGTCAAGATACAGTGGATATGGATTCGGATTGATACGCGGAACTGATTGGTAGCCACTGTTCTGACGAAAACTCGACTGATAGCGATAGCGATGGGGAGGTTTGTTATACAAGGGATACGGACTCGGATTAGCATTGGGGGGAAGGATTTTGATATTGGCGGGGTGAATGGTCTTGTGGAGATCTTTTTTTGTTCGGTCTTTCTATGTAGCCAGAAGATTGAAAGAGAATAGAAGAGACAGCTTGGATAATACAAGAATGGTGGTATACATGTTATGGCGTGGTTATTCGGAGACAATGGTAGAATATACAAATCTTTTCATCACTGAAACGGAACCCTCGAGATTTTGCTGAGAGCTACTGCCGTTTTGAAACATACAGTGGTAGTTCATTTCGGTGTGACTTGTGCAAATGTTCTGATGTTTTTCATGTTTTACGCAAAAATTCAGGAATGGAAATATTACAAAAGTTAGAGATGAGTACAAAGGAGGAATACGTAAGAAAATAAATGATAATGTTGGTCACCATGGCAGTCAAGCAATATGAATCACTGAAGTTTCGAGTCTCTCAAGGCACTTCATAAAGAGCAGAAGAGTTATATCATTGGTATGTAACTGGATGTTATTGCCTCAGTAGCTGCCTAATACATGCGATCCCCTATGATAGAATGATGGAATAAGCCAATAGAAAACCATGGTACTAGCACCCGCCTCGCTAAAACCTCTCAGTCCTGCGTAAACCATACACCATGAAGACCCAATAAGATCAAATCTCATATGATATCACTTCGATGGAATGAGTTCTGTCCTGTTCGTGGAAAAAGTTGATCTTGTGTAGACTTTCCCGCTTCCCGAAACACTATGACTGGTTACTGTTCACTCCCTCCGGTCTGTAACCCCTTTCCATCCCCGCCTTCCCTTCCCTTCCCTTTCGACTCTACATCGCCTATTGGTGTAGCTTTCTCTCTACAGCTCGTAGTTGGCGATCAACTTGGGAACCTGCAAGAATCTTTTGGGCTTTTTTATCTTTGATGTTCAATTCAAAAGTCCAATCGATGAATTTGAGGCGATAGATGGAAGATGCAGTGTCAATTTGCTTCCAGTTGAATCGATCAACCGCAAGAACGAAAGAGATCTCCTTTATGTGAGGGAGATTGTTGATCTGTTCAACAACTTGAGCCAAAATATCACATCTGTAGATACCCTGAATATCTTCTTCAGGAGCCTGGAACATCATCTTCAAATGGATGATGTTTGTATCGTTGCCATATCTTGGGATAATTTCGAGCAAACATTCAAATTCATCCTGCTCTTCTCCAGGCAATCTGGTTGTGAAAAAATCGAGTCCAATAGAGAGAGCTGCGTTGCTAGGCGCATATTGTACCATATCATGTACAGGGATATCAGAAACACGATCAGCACGGCGAGTAGCTCTGTTACGGCTGTTGGCGTTTGATTTTGATCCCTTGTAATTGGCCATTTTGAATGACGTAGATTTAGGAATAGGTCTCAGTTGAATTCCGAAAAGTGTAAAAAGTGGTTGCGATGATGAAGTTTGAAAGTATTGTTGAAGGTGTTGTCGGAGGTGTTGTCGAAGGTACTATTGAAAGTAATGTAATGAGAAGAATAATGATGGAGGGAATTTTAGGATCTCTCGAACCTATTTATCATTCCAGAAGAAGACGCTAAAGCCAAATACATGTACATGTTATACTTCACTGCCGTACATGATTCTCTCGGGAACTGATTGTACTGGTGAAGCAGTTCAAGTACTCCGGCCAACGGGCGTAGTTATTAGATACGGCTTTATATCATCCATGTTAAGAGTTATACTTATTACATATATACTCAAAATGAAAATTGTAAGTAACACAGTGAATAGAGAAGAACAAATGGAGCTTTTATGTGAAGATTCATCAATTTGGAGACAGTGGCCTCCCATCTCAAAATTAATCCTTCACTTACATAATTTTAACCGTCCACCGTCACTTGACAGCTTCTTTATAAGAGCTCCATACTATCCCAAAACCATGGAAAGGTCCCAACACAAGCAGAATTCTTGATTCCGATTGTGAGAGAGCTGGGGAAATTCAGATTTTCTGATATCAAGGTGTAGGCAAGGACTATTGATATGAGTTGGTAACATTGTCAGTCAAGCGGATCTGTCTTGAAAACCTGCGAAAACTGTGTATTTTCGAAAGTTCAAGCACGAAGTGCAAGAGGTAATGTGATTCCCTGATTTGAGCAAGTGCATTGTGTCTTCTTGATACCTGTAGTATTCTCACGTGGAGCATATGTCGAGAGCTGTCTAGGTATATCATCTATCAACAAGTTTTGATCACTTTCCCCTTGAGAGTAGTGATAGCCTACATAAATCCTTATGTTTTGAGTTGGTTGTGGGTCCTCATGTTGAGAGATTTGAGCAGGTTGCAGGTTAGAACATAGAGTCGAGCCAAAAACATCAGGACTTGGAGCAGAAAATGGAGTTTTGAGGCTGCTTGGATCGTGTTATGGGCTTGAATCAAGCCTTAAAGATGTTACCTATTTATGTTTAGAAATAGAATGTTAGTTGGGGCTTTATACCCGTTGTAAGAAGTACCAATTATGAGAGTCAATATCTGCCACCTGTCTTGAGAGGGAAGTATGACCCTTCCAAACATTCTTAATCTGACTAGAGATGGTTTTTGGTCTTCTGCAAACCTTCCAAGTCTCCTTCGATAGATTCTATCTTGTCTGAACCAGCCCACTTTAGAGGTATAACTTCCCCAGGATTCAATCATTCCCATTTCGGATATTTCATAAACAAAAACAATGTTTACTTCTGTATCTCGCTAGACACCATATGTCACATAGTACCTTCAGCATTTCTATATACGGACCTAAGTCAAGGAACCAATTTTCCCGTAGAGCGATACCGGGCTTTAAGCGAAGATCTCCCCGCAAAGTACCTCAACTAAATGTATATCAACAACAATTTTATCGCTTTGTTCCGCGGATTAACTTTCATATATTCTCAAAGTTTCACCATACTATGGAGCTTTATTCCTCAATCCTACTTGTATGAACATAGCTTTCAAACGTCAAAACGCGCGAGTTCGTATTCGCACTTGAACTTTTCGAAGCTTGGAATTTATTTGGAAAAGATCAACGTTCGGGGGATGTACATTAAGTTCTCCTTCGTTGTCATCTTCGGCTTTAGATCCATGTTAGAAGCTGAATCTGCATGGTTGCATAAAGTTAGGATCTCTGTAGTACATGTCCAAACAATACTAGGGCGAAAAATGACCAGTCGTCGTAATAGCCAGTCCCACATTTATACGTTCGGCGCATATGATAATCGCCGATAGATATTTCTGATTTCCTTCGCCTTGTAGACTCATAAGCTCTTAATTTACTCTAAAGAAGTATCAATGTAAATAGTGGGCTCTAAAAATGATGTTAGTGAGGTTATTGGCTAAATAGTAAAGACACAGTCTCCATTCGACGGAAGATTCCTGACAAGACCTTAATTGGACCTGCTATCAAGTAGAAAGAGAGAACGATGTTTTCTATTACTCGTCGCCGCTACCACATGGGTTTTCCAAAGTCCTTGGAAATTACTGCAATTGTTGGCCCTTTCGATGGTCTGTGATGAAATGGGGATGAAGACGTATTTTAACCTCAATGTATAAAGGATAACAGATATGATTAGCACTTTCAATTTGTATCGTTCAAACTGAAGAAATTTGAATATTCATCTGCAATGGCTAAACTTCTATTGCTGTCCCTCGCCGCATTGGCTACACTGTCACATGCTCTGACCCCAAACTGTTCTGTGGCAGCAGCTTTTGAGGCGATTGTTCCACCCACTGCTACAGTAGTTTTGGTCCAAGAAGTATCTCAAAATGCCACATTCGCCGTGCCAGTCGCCGACACCGGGTCTCCAACCGACCCGGCACGACTACCTGCTCTCTACGCGGTGCAGATTGAGATGTCCACAGAGTCAGGCACTACTTTCAATTATGGTCTCTTCCTTCCAAAGAACTGGACTGGCCGCTTCTTGTATGTTTATACTTATGGGCCAAATGTACTCCACAAATTCGTATGGTGATTTATTCAAGGGCTTCTGGAAACTCTGGATTTGCTGGAGCTGTCAACTATCTCGAAATGGTATGACTACTACTCGGATCTCATTACTACTCGAATGGCACCACTTGTGTTCTGTTTATCAGATGCTGATGACAGGATATATAGGGTGCTGGTGCCTCTTATGGTTTTGCAGCTATGTCGACTGATACTGGACATGATTCAAGTATATTTGGTAACGATTCTTGGGCCTTTGACCCTGAGTCCGTAACTGACTGGGCTTGGCGTGCCATGCATCTGTCTGTTGTCGCTGCCAAGGAGGTAGTTGAAGTATACTATGGCAAAAATATTACCTATAGTTACTATAACGGCTGCTCTATCGGAGGACGATAAGGATTAAAGGAAGTTGAGGAATACCCAGACGACTTTGATGGTGCATTAGTCGGTGCCCCTGCTTGGTGGACTGTCCATTTACAACTATGGAATGTTCAAACGGCGCTTTACAATTATCCAACAACAGCGGCTGGCTACACCCCCAATCAAATGTTTTCGGTTATCGCCGCTGAGAGTCTTAAACAATGCGATCCTCAAGATGGCGTCACTGACAACATCATTTCCGACCCTCGTGGCTGTCACTTGCTGATCGAAACATTACTCTGTTCTGGAAATAGTACTACTGGCTGTCTAACTCCTGCTCAGCTCGACACTCTGTATCACTATTACAACGACTGGGTCACTGGCAACCAGACGTTCGTCTTCCCTCACTTCGAGATCGGCAGCGAAGGTCTCTGGGGAGGCGGTTCGTCACCCAATCTCGACTAACCACAATATTTTCTTGGCTTAGGAACCAATTTCACTGCTGATGATTGGAATCTCGAATACCTTGTCTGAAGCTCTCAATCCTGGCAATGCTACAGCTGACAATTTCGATCTTTCTCCCTTCTATGAGAAGGGTAGCAAGATTATCCATTACCATGGTATGGCAGATAATTTCATTGCGATCGCCAGCAGTGTATACTTTTACGAACATGTGTTGCGCACTGAGAAATCGCAAGGCGTTGATCTGGATGACTTCCATCGACTTTTCTTGGTTCCAGGAATGGAGTGAGTAAATCTTAATAATCAAATTGTCGAAAATGTTTACACAGAGTATCTAATAATTGGAAAATAGGCATTGCAGTGGAACCCCTTCTACCCAGAACGCTCCTTGGTACATTGGAGGTACTACCCAAGCATGGGTCATTGGCGACGATTTCCCTGGTTATTGAATCCATAGTAAGCGTGGTTTCGACAATGCTCAACATGATGTATTGCTTGCCTTGATCGACTGGGTTGAAAATGATACCGCACCAACTCAAGTTATTGCAACTGAATGGAATGACGAAGCTACATTAGATCACGTCACCAACCAACGACCGATCTGTATGTACCCTCAACAGGCAAAGTACATCGGTACTGGAAACACTAGTGTTGCAACCAACTGGGAATGTCAATCAATTTACTAGAGAACTGGCGCCTTTATCTGTACATAACATCAAGACACCTCTAATCAGGCTAACAAGCTCTTGCTTGCTTTGAAAAAAATGATATTGAATTTCAATTCATGGAACGCATACTGCAAGATTTGGACGCAATAATTATGTAAAATCTCGTGGCCTTACGGTCTAGAAGGGTTATCAAATATGAAATAGATCGGAATTATTGAAGCGGATTAAAGTAACACGAAAAATCAGAAGTTGATAGAAAATAGGGGAATTGAAGTGTTTTTTTGCTTTTCTTCTGTAGTAGCTATTAGCAGTGTTATTCAAATCGAGTGGTATTATACAAGAAGCGGTTCATGGGCCAGCCCCAGAAATTATATACTATAGTAAAACTTGCCGCTGCCACTCAATTCCTCATTATCACTTAACCTGCGATAATCATCGCAAAGGCCAATGGTAAGGTGCGGGTAGATGCATCCTTCACCCCGAAATATCCGCAGTCTATGGAATAGATTCGCTTAAAATCCCCATCTTTCATCACCAGTACATCTCGTCATTGAAATGAGAGCTCAATTTACAATCAATGTCAGAATCAATCTCAACTGCGTTCTCGGCACCGTTCTCAATAATGGCGAAAGTCCAGTGAGGATGGTCCAATCCGTAGATGGCGCTGACGGGCTTCACCTGTTCCCAGTAAATTCTTTGTACAGACAATGAGACTCGAATCGAATCAAGTTGACGGAACTTATTAAGCTCATAGACGACGTTAGCCATGGCCCAATGGCGAGCAGCTTTGGTGTTGTTGTTGATAACATCCATGTGGGGGATTCCAAACGCAATATCGATATGGATATTGGTTGCGTGGCTCGAGTACTTCGGAAGAATCTTGATTAGAGTCTTGGTGAGCTTATTGTGCTGAAATGGAGAATTCAAACCAGCAAAGTCGAGTAAAATATCTAACATCTTATCACTGCCATTAAATTTGAGCCATGGATGGACGGGGATTGCTGCAATCTCCCAATCGTTTTCCTCCTGGAGAGCGAGTTTCGCCAATTGTATTTCCACACGACGAGCTTGAAGGGTACGATGAACCGCTTGCACAATGAAACCGCCAGACATAGTGTTCAACATTTTGCGGTGAAGAAGAGTTTGTCTTGTTTGATTTTGGGTGGATGTCTCGAGAGAAAGATGCGAGGACTTAGCAAATTATGAGAGGTGATAGTAGGTCGAAAGGTGTTTCTTGTAGAAGAGTATTGCTGAGTGGCACTGTTACTAGAAGAGTTCCATTATTAAGTAGCAAGAGAAAGGAGTAGTGTGTTGTAAGAATGATGTAGTCAGCTAGAATTTGACGTCATATTGATCTAATAGGGAAGGGCTAAGATGTTTAAACTAATGGTGTACAATACTGACTGCACGCATAAAAGATGTCAGAAAATTAAAGATCAATCAGCCAACCGTAGCATTTGAAAGGATTGTATCATGCATGTCATTAGTTTCAACCAAATGGCGGTACCTTACGGCACTAGTGAAACGTGTGGTTTGCGAGCGAGCGGTCATGCACCACCGAGAAAAATACATAGAAATTGAATATGCAGTATTACTTGGCTACAACTCCCCAGTATCTAGTCTTAGTACACTTGGACAGTCTACTCGTCAGTATGTTAGACCTCTCCATCATGCAGCAAAATTCAATCAAACAATACAAGAATATTCAGATTGTATGGATTTAACGTGTCAAAGCAAAACAAAAAAAAGCAACGATGGAAGCGAATTCTTTCCACGTGGTCGCTCGCACAGTGGTAAATGATAAACTACAAGAAGCAGCAAAGAATACAGAAAAACACAACTGGCTTTTGAACCAGCACTTTTGGTTCAGCGCTCAGAAATTCTAGACGACTACTCTCGAAAGTGGGCACGAAGAGCATGTAAATGGCACATGAGTAAGATGCCAGCTTTGGATCCAGCCAATAATTTAAACCATCGATTAAAAATATGTCTTTATAAGCTTCACGCCGTGCTCAGGGCCCGACTGCTCCTGTAAGCAAGTCGCGAATAGCATCAAGTGCCACGAGCCTCAATGAAGCAAAAGGACAGCAAGCTAGATTCGAGGAAGGAAATTTAACTTCCATCTGCAGAATCGCGTGGTCTTTCCCCCTCCGCAACAATGCTCAGAAAAACACCTAGGCTTGGCTCGTGAGTGACTGTAATGTATTTACACGAATGAAGAACTTCGGAGAATAGCTAGATGCTTTAACTAATGATTATACCAACACCATGGCGATTTTACGAGTAGCTTGACCATGTCTTGGGGTCTGGAAAGTTGATGTCGTTCAAAAGCAAAAGTGGGTCGCCAGTCTCATTGAGAAATTTGATTGGCAAAGAAAGAACAGCTGCAGCGAAAAGAAGTGCGAACTCTATTTTATACACTTGAAATGATAACGTGATTCCAGAATGTGACCTTTTTTTAGTTCATTAAACTTTTGAACAAATTCTACCTTATAACTAGAAATCCTCCAATTTGAAGCTATCTTGATTGAATGAATCGTTATTGAATTTCGAACTTTCTATTCGATTGAAATTAATGAGGCACAAAAATCACGTCTGTTTGAGGGTAAAGGAGTTGTTAAATCGGATGTATGTATGGTGTTCTACTCTTCGACTCAATATCAAATCGAAAATCATATGATCACGCCACGTGAGGTATCATGACAAACGCATGTGGTTGTAGATGGTCAATTTCTACATTTCAAGGACGGCACTTGTGCTTCTCAGGCCACAATGCCACATGAGATTGCAAACTCTAAATAGACGGTCTTCTGCTTGTAGTTTGGTCATATTACAGCAGCAAGCATAACGAAAGACTTAGTTGCACGAGTAAATTGAATCACAAAGTTGGGTCAGAACATTCAAAGTTGGAAACGGATTGAGATTTAATGCCGCTCCCTTTTGTCTTCCACTAAAACACCCCCTATAAGCAAACACCTCCACCATGGGCCATGCTAATACATATATACAAGACGAATCAGAAACCACTTCCTAAGCCATAGCTTCTCCTCTCAACCCCTACTCATACATCTTATCTACATACGCTTATGCGACGTAGCTGACAAGAGTGTCGAAGTATTGGGCGTAAGCAGCACCGGTAGGTGGCTCGAAAGCGTAGATGTAATCACCCCACCATGGGCCAGCACCCCACCACAAAGCACCCAACCAGTACTCGTTATCGGCAGCTAAAGCATCCAACATACCAGAGATAGCAGATTCACAGTCAGCGTTGACACCACCAGCGAATTCTCCGATAACACCCTTGAGGTTGTTGGTCTTGAGCCATGCAGTAGCATCGGCGATACGCTCAGCACCAATGGTGCTGCTAACACAGGTGGCAGAGGTTCCGGATCCATCAGAGTCGAGGTATTGATGGAATTCGTAGACAAGCTTGTCTTCAGGATCGGTGATGTTCAACATGGAAACAGAGTTTCCAGATGAAACCCAGGTCCAGGCACCAGTGTAAGAAGTTCCTAATTAACATGTTAGTATAGAGCTTTCAAGATTGAAGAGAATTCTAAAGATTGACTTACCCTCAACAAAGATGTATTGGGAGGTTGCACCAGCGCCACGGATAGCGGTAACACAAGCTTGGTTAAGCTCAGCATAGATGGTATCGGTAGGCTCATCGTGGAACTCGTTGTTACAGTCAAAGATGACGTTGGAGTTGTCGGCGAACTCGGTAGCGAGCTTGCCCCAGAAGCCACCGAAGTCGGAGGTGGAAGTGATAATGGCTGAGTCATAACGTCCATAGTTGTGAGCTTCCATAACTGCGCTTGCACCAGCGGCGGTAATGTAATCGATGACCTCCTTGTAGCTAGCAAGGTAAGTGGCGTCGAGGCTAGCGGTGATGCTGCTTTGGGCCATACGCTCCAAAAGGAATGGAACACGGAAAATGTTCATGCCACCATCAATCAAAATCTGAATGGCGGTAGTGTTTGGGAAGGTATAATCTGTCTCAACGACACCTGGGAGGCTGGTTTGACCGAACTCGGCTCCAGACTCGCTGGCACCGATCCATTGCAACTTTCCAGCAGTTGTGCTGCTGGATGCTGCAGCGACGGATGCAGCGCTAGTGGCGACAGCAGCCTTGCTGGAAGAAACGACAGCTGGGGAGGACGAAGCTGGGGTAACAACTGCAGCAGCGGACGAAACGGCGGAAGAGCTAGCAATAACCGGACTAGCGGCTGATGAAGCAACGACAGCGGCAGAAGTCTTGACGGCACTGCTTGATGGTGCAACTGAAGTGGCGGCAACGACAGCGGCAGTGGAAGAAGGAAGGGTGGTTTGAGCTACAACGGCAGCGGAAGTGGTCTCATCGTAATCGGCAACACAGCTATCGTCCTCATCTCTAACAGCTACCGGAGCTGCGAATGCGGTTGCTGTAAGGCCAGCTGCCAAAACAAAGTTTGTGAAACGCATAGCGTAGAATTGAAAAAGAGAGTGACTGAAAAAATGAATGAATGAATGACTTTAGTGAGAGTGGTAAGGAAGAGTAAGAAAAAGGGAAGCGTCAATCGGGAGGAGGAAGTATTTATTGGGAAAGTTAAAGAGATGAAATCTCACGATGCTCCACTTCATCGATTAATTAACCTCATTCCCCCTCTCATTTAGAGTTGTCAACTTATCCTAATGGTAAACAACGCTCCGGACCCTCTCTGTACTTTAATTTCATGACACTTTTCTTTTTCGGGACTCAGCGTTTCGCTCAAATTCTGTAAACAGACGAACAATATGTGATTATGACGCGAATCACTAAATAACTGTCACCAAGGTCGTTAATATGTGATCTGATGTGTTTTGTTTAAACAGGGGACCTAGGAATAATTATCGAATCGCAGTTAACGTTTTATCGCTAAAGGGGTAAAGTGGGGAGAATATTCGGATTTAATATCCGAACGTTTATACATGAAACCTTCTGTATGGATTCTTGTATGTTTGTTTGTTATACCTTGCAAGCATCTACGATGTACCTGTCC